GAACTTTTTCATTTTGCATTTATTGATGAAAGAACTTACTTTAGATGGGTTATGTTAGTTATAAAATGACTATGACATAGTTTTAGGTTTATTTTTATTTTTTGTCTTTATCTTATTTTGATTTATTGTTTTTACCTCCTGTTCATTCAGTCTTACTTTCCCCCTCAATCTATTATAGCCTATTATTTTATTAATTATTATCATTATTATTACTGTTAGGCTGTTCTTTTTATTTTTTCATTTTTCTTTTATTTTTAAGCACACTGAGTGACATTCTATGTATGATAATGTGCTTTATAAATAACTTGAACTTATTAATCAACATTTATTTTTTTAGATTATTAGATTATTAGATTTAGATTATTATTTTGAAAATTTTCCAACCGGTTTGATTTAAAGCCAAATATCTAACTGATCTAACTGAACTTTTTTTCCCTGTTAAAGGTTTTTTTTGGGGGAGTTTTTCCTTATCCGCTGCGAGGGTCATAAGGACAGAGGGATGTCATATGCTGTAAAGCCCTGTGAGGCAAATTGTGATTTGTGATATTGGGCTTTATAAATAAAATTGATTGATTGATTGATTGATTGAACCGATATATCGAATTATATACCTAATTTTACCGCTGGGGGTCGCATTTGAGCTATTTGAGCGCTTCCAATCCACTAGGTGGCGGTAATGCTGTATTAACCGCCAATACATACAAAGTTAGACAAGAAGAAGAAGACGCAGAAGGACTCCCAGGAACCTTCCTCCGACTCCACTCTCTCAGTGGAGACACGGCGGTTGAGAGGGCCGAGTGAGAGGATGTTCCTGTAGTAGTTCCAGCCCCCCAAATAGTACCAGGAACTTCTTCATTGGAAACAGGTTACTAGGGCAACAAACTGAATGACTGCTGACTCCCTCGCACTTTTCCCCGCCCCCAATGAAATTTGATCTCTCGCAGCAGCAGCAGACAGCTGAGCAGAGCTGCTGAGTCCCTCTGAAGCCTCTGAGACAAACTAAACAAAACACTTGTAGGCTCCTCCACTTCATTTATAAACAAACATAAACCTTATTAAGTTGTCATAATGCATGTTACAATGCAAGATAAGTTGAATATAGTCCCTTGACACGCCGCCAATGTGAAAAGCGTTTTGGTTTTTTTTGGGGGATTTTTTTCTCCTCCAGTTTATCAGGTTGATATGAATTAAAACGGGTGGAGCTCTTAAACCGGACCGAACCGGTTAAATCAGCACAAGCCTAGTCCAGGTGTCCCAGGGAAGTGAAAATGGCAGATCACATTATTGATCAATGCATCAGGATGTAGGGGCCTACTTCAATCAAGGTCTAACACAGGCAGAAATTGCACTGTGTCTTTCTGTTAGAGATGGCATTCAGAATAGTCCTCGTCATTTAAGGAGAAGACTATAGCGTGGTTACAACTTCACAGGCGACGGTTAAGTGATCCTGCTGAGATTGTTAACTTCATTAGCAACCAGATAAGAGGACCAGGTCATCTTCATGGTTACCGAATGATGCACGAGAGGTGCAGATGGGCTGCACTGCGCGTTACTCAAGACATTGTTCAGGAGGTTCAGTCACATCTTGATCCAGAGGGCGTACAACAATGGAGAGGAACAAGACTTCGGAGAAGATCTTATAGGGTCCCAGGGCCCAATTATTTATGGCATATGGACTCCTATGACAAGCTGACCCCTTTCGGCATTGGAATAAACGGATGCATTGATGGGTTTTCACGTCATATAATCTGGATGCAAGCAAACTCTTCCAGTAGTAACCCCAAAGTCATCACAGTGTACTTCATTAATGCAGTCACAGAACTTGGCGGGTGTCCAAAGATAATCCGATCGGATCTGGGAACTGAAAATGTCCATGTTAACAGGCTGCAACACTTCTTCCGAGAAGATGAGACTGGCGTTGTGCATGGGCCGTGTGTGTTCCAAGGATGCAGTACAGCAAACCAACGGAGCGAAAGCTGGTGGGGGATCTACAGGAGACAGAACGCAAACTATTGGAGGGAAGTCTTCCAGGAGTTCCAGGCAACTGGAGACTTTAATGGGGATTTCATAGACAAGGGTCTCATCCAGTTCTGCTTTCTTAAGATTATCCAAGTAAGTCCTCCACTGTCCATATCTTCAATATTGTACATCTCAAGGCTGTATCAATTTGCCGCCTGCTCCACTTGTCTGTATATCTGTGTGTAGGCTCCACCTGTCAATGAGATAATCATCACATCACCCTCTGATCGCTTTAGAAAAACATGCCTAGTATGTAGTCAGTGTGAGGTGCGCAGATCTCACCGCACAATGTTTGTAAACCTGTTTACCAGTTTATTTGTGGGAAATGTAAGTATTTATGTGTACACATCATTTATGAATCTGGCCCTTGGTCTTTGTGGATGTGCATGAAAAGCATGTTAAGGCATTTCTCACTGTAGATTGATGTTAGAGTAGCGATCGCTATGAACATAGGCCTACTTAGATGTTACCACTAACTCCCGAAAGTGGGGGGACAAAATGTCTTGTCCCCCCTATTCTTGTGATGTAGCATATGCGTGTGACTGAATTGGATGATGTCAAACTGCAAAATCTCTCATACAGAAAGTAATAACACAGTCAGGCCGACATCTCTTATCATCTCTTATCAGTTTAAATGTTGTAAATGTTTGACTGTCTATCCTGTTTTATAGCATATCAATTAAAAGGAGTGTCAATCCTGATATCCTGGTGTGCACTTGTTATTATAGATCACACTTAGAATGCAACATTATTTTATTTTTAACTGTAGGGGTGTCCCTGCTCTGTTTCTCTATCAACCAAGGGGTTGAAGACCCCTGACATAAACATTATGCTTCCATTATTATTATTTTTAACATAGAACTACACAATGTTAACATAGAGTTTAAATAGGTTCACATAGGCCTACATGGGATTTTGTATTTTTGACACTACAGCATTTGACCCACAGATATGATGTAACTAATTGATGAAGCTGAAGTGGAGCTGTCCAGGGTTTTGATATAGACTACTGTTTAGTGTTCACATGCAGTAGCTTGTTTTCCTTTCCCTCCATCCAATTGATGACTAGCTACTTTGAGTCAAATGTAGCTACATATTTCAAAAAAGAGGAAGAAACCAAAAGCACTCCTCTGGCAAAAAATGTAAAAAGTCTTAAATAAGATGGCTATTTCATCATGATATATTTAAAAACAGACAATGAACTCACAGATAAAAGCACAAGGTCTCACCAGTAGATGGCTCTTCAAAATGTAAGAAAAGATATACATAAGTGAAAAAATGTGGAAAAAAATAAAGAAAGAAATAGACAAAACAATAATGATAAATCAATGTACAAGCAACAAAATCTCTCCAGAGCAACACAGGCATCAGACCACAAATACAAGAAAAACTATAAAAAAAAGGACTGAAATCAGTTTCCTCACTGAGTCCTGATATACTCTGGCCTGCATTTGGTATATGTAATACGTTTCTCTCTGCAATAATAATTTGATTTGATCACCACAAATATTCTTTTGGATTGTTTCTAGGTCTTGGTTTCCTCTTCTTTTTTGAATTTTTGTGTCCCCCACCAAAGAGCACCCTCATCACAAGTGTCTAAACTTCTGAGCTCTCTGGACTTTTTTTTCTTTCTCTCTCCAAGCCTATTTGGCATGAATATGTAGGCTTTTTTTGTCCTGGGGTCAATACTCTTGTCTTCATTATGTAGGCTACTATGGCTGAGTGCAGGAAGCTGGAGCTTGAGCTCAGTATTCTGCTGATAACTCCATCATAGCATAAAACAATACTGCATTTCCCCATTATGGTGCTATAATGATATATAATAAATAAATACAGTGTAAGGCAGCTAAGGTGGCTTCTTCCATGTACTAATTTTCAAAAGAAGTCATCATAAGTATTGAAATACTAATGTTTTTGTGTTGCAGAACGAGCTAGACACCATAGTGACAATGTGGGACAACCATAGCATTCGACCAGGTGGAAAAGGACACCCTTTGTATCATGGAAAACCATGTCTGATGTACAATGTACCTGAGCTCTATCATGGACAAGATTATTTGCATCCACTACAGTGTGAAAGAGTGGGGATTGTTCTCCAAGAGGACATCTGTCTGTGGAAAACAGACATTCCCTGCGACCATGACCTGCATGAGCTCTGTTTGATGGTGATGGAAGAGAACAACATAGCACAGTGTCATAACGCTGCAGAGGCAATACGTCTTTACAAAGACCTGAGGCCTTTAATAAGAGCACTCCTGCCAGAGCCTCATCACTAATGTTGTTGTAGCATACAGGCAGATGCACTGTCCATGGTTCTAATAATGATGATGATGGCATCTCCAGCAATGAGGTCTCTCCTAAAGTTTACATTTCTCAAGTATCGTTGGCCTTTGCATCAGTTGATGCTGTGTTGAAAGGTTTTACTAAGATAATGTGATTTCTGTGTAGTAGGCCAGGTTGATAATGTTGGGTCTTGGGACCAGCAGGGGTATTTGAGAGTTTTCCACTCATGGAATTCTGGACAAAATCATAGCTTTAATAAAAATATTCTCAGATTCTCAAAAAAAGAGACAAATTTACATAAATTGGGGGTCAGTGCCCCTAAAGTGTAACAAATGTAGGGTCAATGCTATGAAAATGTTGAAAATCACTGTAACGTAGGGCTATCTTTGACTAAAGAAATTCTTAGTCAACTAATACATAGAATTGGTCGACTAACTAATTAGTTGATTTCATCGACAAATCTGTAAAGTTTGAGTTTTCCACGTGCAATACTTCAAAAGGACCTCCTTAAATATCATGCTTACCAGAGATGTCCTTGTAATCTTCCAGGAAATTACTAATTCAGCATGGTAATAAAGCATTAGAACTGACTAATCGACTAACAAAATCTTAGTCGACACATTAACACATTAAAAAAAGACAGTGAAAATTACAAACAGTTAAAACCTTTTAATTGATGAAACATTTTCATTGCAAACATTGCAAACTCATAAGTCAGTGCTTTCATTTAAATAACATGAACTTGGACCCGGGAAAGTGCAGGGTCCTATTGGGAGGGGCACTGCACTATTCTAAATCAAATTAAGCAAAACAAAATCATTTCTCAAAATTGGCATATAAATGAAATGCATAAAGGCCAACATACAAGGTGCTTCAGAAAAGAAACAGGACTGGGGTCACAAAAAATGTATTTCAAATCTAAACTACAAACTACAAGTTTTCCCCTTCAGAATAATCCCCCTCGAATCTAACACACTTTCCCATCCTTCTACACTTCCATGCACTCCTGGAAGGATTCTCCAGGGATTCTCTGCAGCTCCATCGTCACGGCCCTCTTGATTGTTCCACGTCCGGAAAAACATGTTCCCTTGATGAAACCTTTTGGAAGGAAAAATATTCATTTTATACTTGTATATGAGTCAATATTGCCACCTTGTGACCAAAATCAGCAACAACATGTTACTGTGCCGCTCACTTCAAATCTGCTTCACATGTTACTTATTTCACAACAATGTTACACACACATTAGACAACTTTGAAAACTATCTCACACCAGTGGAAAATTATATTTAAATGAATGAACTACACGGCTACATATATTTGAGTAATATATTATATATACATATATATATAATATATATTTGAGTTTCTGTTTATTTCTGTGAGTGAGAATGTAATGTATGTATGTATATTATTATTATGTAATTATGAATGTTTTGCATGGTATATTTTTGTTATTCTTTTTTGTAGAAAACCTACATTCATCACTGTAAGCTCCAACTGCTATGCCTGTGTGCTGCTGAAAAGGAAAGGAAAGAAAACTGAACCTCTCTAAGCCTTTTATTACCCCATGTACTCTGAACTGTGGCCTCAAGTGGTGTTCTGGCCGACACACCGGCGTGAACCTGGTGATAAACCCTGAACTAGTGCCTAGTCTGAACATTACTAGTAGTTTCTACACTACACCCAGAATGACATTAGCTGGTTTAAGCTGGACACTGCTGTTTTTGACACTGCTGCGCGCTATTAAAAGACTGATACATATGATATTTGAGAGTGCTGACATTTTGATTTATTAAGCTGGACACCAACTGAGCTTCCAGTTCAATCAGCTTGATACCAACTACATTACAGATCATAAAACCTCTTACAATAAATTTAGATACATTTCTGTTACCCTTTGGTTTCAGACAAATAAAGTTCCTATTCTATTCTATTCTATTCTGTTCTATTCTATTCTATTCTATTCTTACACTGGCCATAGCTGTTTTGTTTATTTGTTTTTAACAGCAAGGGTGTGTGTCCAACCTTTGCTGCAATGTAGTAGTTACCAGTATTAACTTAAGTCATATAAATCATTTTATGTCCATCTTGTGCAGGTAAATACAGGTATTATGCCATTATCAATGTCCAAATGGATCATATTTTTGATTCTACAGACTTACAACAACCAGATTGGACCAACATAGTTCTTCATTTGTCACTTTAGCATTAGCAGGCAATGCTGTTAAATATTAACTTAGATTATGTACTTCACCTTGTCCTCTGCCATTCTTGCCAGGTTCTCCTCAGGAACACCCCTTTCTCTCAAGGCTGAGAGAAACTGGTCCATGGTGATCTGTAGGATTCAGCAGTAAATGTAGTCACACTTGTTAGCAGCTGCAACAAAGTTGTTCAACTCTTGACTGCTGGCCCTTATACAAAAGAGTCATAGTTCTTCTGATTATTTAATAGCCACATTTTGAGTTGACCATTGTAATGCTGTGCCACAAACCATAATAATAAACACGACACATGTCAAAGCACTATTAAATGAATTAATAAATGTTTAATTACGTTTCACATTGCATCTTGCTAAGTTAACGTTAGCCTACATTTATGTTACCTTGAAGCAGCTGGATAGGAGTTTGTCAGCCTTTCATCTGCTAACCGGCAGCCTCTAAACAAACCCAGTCAAGTAAACAACTAACGTAAAGTGTAACTCACCAGTAGGCTACCATAGATGTATAAAGAGCTACAGCTACAGCCAGTGGCTACGGAAGCCGTTCGTGGCAGCTCTTGTAGGCTGAAATCAGGACGATCACATTAACCAGCGTGCTATCATCAGACTTGACAATTATCACAGGAAAAGAATCTTTGTTATATTGAAATAACGAGATAATTAATTCGTTATCACGAGAAAACAATCTTTGTTATAACGAGATAACGAAATAATAAGTCGTTATCACGAGATAACTGCACAAAAAAAAGAATAATACATGGCCGTTCTCAGCTTCCGTACTGTCCTTATGAACCACATAATAATTAGTACTTTGCATTCATCCAAATTATATAATTTACATTCATAATTATTATTTCCTTACACGTTTTTTACTGTGTAAGTATGAGGCTCTTTCCGGGTGTAATCCAAAGTGTCAGTGATAATTGTTATGGTGTTTACAGTTGATAGTCTGAAACAGCGACCTCCAGCAACTTTACAAAAATGAGTTATAAAATCACTAATGCAAGTTCTGCTCATGTACTGTATGTATTATTTCATTCTTTTTGGAAGCCCAAGCACAATGTTATGCCATTTATAGAGATAGGTAATCCATCAGTGAGGTCTGAATAAAACACCAACATGGAGTGTGGCTCTGTTTCATTGTGTAATATTTGAGATTGATTCAACTATTATTCATTCATATATCCAGGATTTGATCAACTCTTAGGTATCTCACAGACAAATTATTCATATTATAATGTGCCAAGAGCAATACATGGGTTTCAATCACGTGACTTTTTTTTCGCGGCCGCCATATTTAGGACCGATTGGGGTTGATCTAGATAGACAACAGGTTGTGATTGGATGTTATTGAAGGAAGTCCTTATCTCAGGGCTTCACGGTCCCTTTCAGGGTGGAGCAAAGTTACAGTGACGTGTTGTGAAACCCATGTATACAGTGGGTAAGATCTATGGTAAAAATCTTTATGACAGATGTAACAACAATACTTTAAGTTAGTTTCTCATGAGATGGAATGTTTAGACTGACCTGCATGCATCTGTATTAAAAGCATTGCCCCCTCCTGGTGGGTGACAAGAACACCAGAAAGCAGCGCCAGCTGAGCTGCTCCCAAAAAAAATCGCCAAGACGAATTGCATGACAAGATGCTTCTCTTCCTTAAACATCACGCCTACTGGTATTATTATGAACTAGGCTACCTAGTTCCACAGCAAAGACGTGAGGTGTTGTAACATGAAGCCATCATGCTAAATCCGACAAAACAATAATGTCTAGCTAACCTGCACAATATGCACGCGATATGTCCCCCCCCCCCCCCCCCCCCCCCCCCCCCCCCCCCCCCCCCCCCCCCCCCCCCCCACACACTTTTTTTGTTCGCTTGTTAAAATTGGCGCTGAAGTAACCCTACCGTTGGTAGAGGTTTCATTAGAAGTTTCGTCTTCCTGCTGCCTTGATTCTAGCCGTGTCTTTAGTCCGATAAATAAAGCAAAGTAGGTCTGGTCGATGAAGTTTTAGCTTTAATGCATGGTAAGCTACAGTTAGTAGCGATATAACTTTAGACTATTAGCCTAGCTAGAACCAGTGGTCTGTGACATCTGACAGCCCGCTTGATGGTTTTATGTTTTTTTTGGCTAAAGGACATTTAGCAACCACCAACTGGTTTAGATAGGCATGATAAAAATATACTCTCTCTTTTAACAAAAAAATTGCTAAGCTACTGACGCTGGTTTTACACACAGGCTAAATTGGATGGCCTCTGAAGTCCACTCGCAGGTTCATCACCTCGTTCAGACCAGAGCTCATTATCTCTGGAGGAAACCCTAGCGGGCTAGTAGTATTTTCTCAGGAGGACTTCAGGGTTCAAATCTCTGGAATAGTTGTACACATAGGCGTAGGATTGGGTAGGGATGGTAGGGACATGTCCCTACCAATATTCATCCCCTTCTGTATTGTCCTTACCAATATAAACACTGGCTGTCGGCATCCGCTCAATATGGTACACAAAGGGTGAACAATCGTTGGTGTCTACCATACGTCCCGCCTCTAACCTCGTATTGCTCATCGATTGGCTCTACCGTTATTGTGGTAATGTGTGATTGGTCCTCCCCAGCGCTGCTCTCTCCACTGACTTTGTGGGTGCGCGTCACTGTTCCCGTTCGTGAGGGAACGACACATACATGCGCGTCATCGTTAGCACTCCACCCTGGAGCGCCGAGTGCAGTGGCGTGCACAGACTTTTTGAAGGGCAGGGGCGAAAAGAAAAAAAAGCGTTCGGGGTTAACTCCCAAAACTGAGAGGCAATGTTTTTTTTGCCATAAGACAGTCCACTTAATTGCTGACTGTGCCGCCTAGAGGCGTAAGCAGGGGTCAACTTTGAAACCAAAGGGGGTGGGGTTGATAAAAACCTCTCTCAGTGACACATCCATCGTGTCAGGAGTGTCAGATGATTGTTTTAAACCTTTCATTTTGTCCTGTCATGTGTCTCTCACAGGAAAGCTGTAGGACCAGTGCCTGGTGAGAGACTTACGTGACACCGCCTGCTCCCAGTCTTTCATTCTTTCCAGTGTACTGCCGGCAGGTGTCACGTCTGATGTGAGTGCTGTGGTTAGAGGGATTGAAATGGGTTTTGTTCCTGCACCCCTGCATCAGGTACATGTGAAATCTGGTTTAGCCACTGTTTTTCCCCTGTTGGTGTCCGCTCCTGTTTTCCCATTGAAGGAATTGATTTCATCATGGGAAACGACATTGCTGGCGGTAAAGTATATCCTGTGCCTGAGGTGGTTACCGAGCCTATTTCCCAGTCTGATAAAGATGATGATCTAGTTAAATGGCACCCTGATGTTTTTGCAGTTAGCGTGTTAACTAGAGCCCAGGCCCGTAAGCAGGCCCAGGAAGTTGATTTATCTGACTCTTTGTTTGTGTCTGCTCTGTCCCAAGATGTGCTGCCCTCCGGTGGTGGTTCGGTGGATTGCGGTCTGAAGGAGCCAGAAAAGGTGACTGAACCTGTTACGGATCCTGTCATAGCTCCTGCAACCCCCTTGCCTCTAAGCCGTGAGGCGCTCATTGCTGATCAGGCAACAGATCCCTCTCTAGCCAAGTGTAGGGCAGCTGCTGTGGAGAAACCTGATGAATGTGATGGTAAACCGCCCTTTTTCTTCGATAAGGGTGTCTTGATGCGCAGGTGGGTTTCACAGTTAGGTCAAGCAGCAGCTGATTCAGGTGAGGATTGGGCTGTAGTTTGCCAGATAGTGCTCCCTATTGATTGTCAACAGCATGTTCTGAAGTTGGCTCATGAGCACCTGTGGTCAGGTCACTTAGGTGTTACCAAAACTTACCATCGGATTCTCAAACATTTCTTTTGGCCAGGGTTAAAATCTGACGTTGCGTCCTTTTGCAGAACTTGCAGCACCTCAACCTATGCCGCCTGCTCCCCTACAACCTGTCCCTGCTGCTGGTGAGCCTATTGAACATGTAATTGTTGACTGTGTTGGCCCTCGGCCTAGGACTAGAACTGGTAATCAGTTCTTGCTCACGATAATGTGTGTCTCCACCCGTTTCCCAGAAGCTATCCCGTTGCGAAAAATCACAGCACCAGCTGTCACTAGGGCTTTGCTGAAATTTTTTGCCACATTTGGTCTTCCAAAAGTTGTGCAAACTGACCAGGGAACCAATTTCCTCTCCAAGGTCTTTAACCGGACCTTGCAGTCACTAGTATTAGAGCATGATATTGATGTGAGCGGTGCCACTCCTATCAAACAGCATGCCTACTGTTGTCCTTTAGAAAAGAGGGAGGTGATGAAAAAGGAGGTTGCCTATCTGGTTGAACATGGTCTTGCCCAGCCTAGCTGTAGTCCATGGAGTTCTCCATGTTTGTCTGACGGAACCCCTCGGTTCTGTACAGATTTTCGTAAAGAGAAGGCCAAATGTGAGTTTGGGAAAGCTACTGTCACATACCTGGGAAAACAGGTTGGCCTTGGGCAGGTCTGCCCTGTCACTGCTAAGGTGGAAGCAATTCTGGCTCTGCCAACTCCCACCACTCGACGTGAGCTCAGGCGTTTCTTGGGAATGGCAGGCTACTATCGGTGTTTCTGTAGGAACTTCTCTGTGGTGGTGGCGCCCCTGACTAAGCTGTGTAGCCCTGCTGTTCCTTTTGTTTGGAATGCTGATTGTGAACATGCCTTTGCTGCTGCTAAGTCTCTCCTCTGCAGTGCTCCAGTGCTGGCTGCGCCCAACTTCTCTATGCCGTTCAAACTCGAGGTGGATGTTAGCGCCATTGGAGCTGGAGCGGTGCTGCTGCAAGATGGTGACGACAACATGTGTCATCCCATGTGCTACTTCTCGGTGAAGTTCAAGAAGCATCAGCTGAACTACTCAACGATTGAAAAAGAAACCATAGCCATGCTTCTCACCCTGCAACACTTTGAGGTCTATGTTGGCTTGACCTTTATCCCTGTGACTGTCACTCTTCACTGATAATAACCCGCTTGTCTTCCTGATGCAGATGTATAACAGCAACCAGCGGTTGATGCGCTGGGCACTCAGGCCCAGCGTTACAACATTGAAATCAGGCACAAGAGAGGGGCTGAAAACCTAGTAGCTGACATGCTGTCCCAGTGGTAAGAATATTTCTTAAGTGTTGAGTTGTGTTAAGGCCGTTAATCCAGCCTGTGTGAGTGAAATTATTTATTTATTTATTTTTGCCAACAAACCTGTGGGATTGTGGTTTTCGGGAGTGAGAGTTTCATTCTTATGGGTGGGGGTGTTAGGTGCCGTGTTGTGTTTGGTGTTGTGTTTTGTGTTTTCTCTCTCGCCAGGTACTGCCCCCCCCTCCTCCCTCCACTAATTACCACAGCTGTGGCCTATCACAGCTGTGTGATTAAAACCACCCTTGAAAGCTGGAGCCGGTTGCTAGTGGGCCTTTCCGGCAGCGTGCAGTGCAGACCGTAGCTCTGTGTGTGGTGGTGTGC